TCTTAAACAAATGTTCTAATGAAAAGCTAATTATACAAGTGGACGAAAGAAAGGGTACAGGACTGTCAAGCTGTAATGAAGTAAGAAAGCCAGCATGCTGTAGTGGTTAAGGTCAGTGGTGGGATTCAAATATGTGAACAACTGGTTCTCTGTGTGGATGTCACTTCCGGAAGTCCATTCTGAGCTTGGGCAACAAAAAATTAGCTACCGGTTCTGCCGAAGTGGTGCCAACCGGCTGAATCCTACCACTGGTTAAGGTGCTAACCTGCAACTTAGAAGTCAGGTTCTAGTCCTAAGAGTTCTTAGCTCTTAGTAAACAGCTAAGTGCCCTTCAGCCAGTCCCTCCTCACAGTCTCTTCTGTTCTATGCTAGCTAGCTGATAAACAAAATTCCTTGTTGCTTCATGTATTGATGGTTTTACTATAAGAAATAGGCAAGCAAATTGCAAAGGCAAGCAGATCCTGATAAGGATATCAATTCACTAATGTAAGAATGGAATATTATTGTAATTGTATTTGCGAAAGTCATTGGCAGTCCTAAAATACATGGCTTTAACAAATGAGCATTGTCATGTACTTTTTACTTTATATTCACTGTTACAGGCCTGGAAGCGTTGGGAGTCAACTCAGAAAGTCTCAAAGAACCAATGCTACCTTGACACTATAATTTTTGTGTGTTTTATTTTTATTATTTTAAATAATAAGGTTTTTGATATGTTTATTGTTGCACACCTCTCAAGAGTCACCTTTGTGAGATGGACAGGCATATCATTTTGATAAATAAATAAATATTATTGTGTTATATTTAGGATCTGGCATTTTTGCTAATACTGCTCAGAAAAAAAAATCCATCTTGAAAAGGTTTGTTACATTCTAGGTTCCCAAGAATCTGCCCTTTCAGCTCGGACATAACTTTGCTTTGGCTAATAAAATGGCCCATTTGGAATGTAATCAACACACTTATAGCAAGGAAACTTTCAGAGAGCCTGGCAGTTTTGCAGATGTCACCTTGAATTAATGGATGGGGGCAGGAAATGTTTAAACTTATCCTTAACTATAAAATCTACATCTAATGCAACGATACGGGTATAGCAACTGAAATCAAAAACAGTTGAATTGCAAATGAGGAAGCACAGTTGAAAGAACCTAACAGAAGAAAATCAAAGCTTGATTTCCATAATTGCAAAAGATGAGAAATTATCAGAATGGCACCAAGGTAGAGACAATCATTAACACAGTATGGTGCATTATGTTTTTAATTGTACACCGTGTTGTTCCTTTAAGAGGCTTTGTAGAGTAAGTCTGGGGGGGGGAGCATAAGTATATTTTTAAAAGAATGGTTTAGTTTGAATGTTCATTGTATTATGCCAAATGGAAAACTATTTTAATAAAAAAAATCAGTGAATCTTCTTATATACCAGGTGTTGGTAATGCACATGTTTACCAGGTATTGGCAATGCATATGTTGAACCATCTTCAAATATGTCACAATAGATCACAGGACCAATTTGATTTTAGTTTTCCAATTCAGATGACTCATTTATGTATTGAAAATGAGTATGACTTTTTACCCAGTTTTTAAAACATTTGTTACATGCCGTTCTTGCAAAAAAATAATACCCCCACAATATTCTCATCCATATCTATCTGAATTATAAATCTCATATTACAATATAGTTTAAGATAATATTAAAAAGAGGGATGTTGGAAGGAAGGAGGGAGGAAGCGAGGGAGGGAGGAAGGAAGGAAGGCTCAAGTACCTTTTCTATAATAGCTATTATATGCTATTGTCTTCAAGAAGTGGTACATGGTGCATACATTCTTTGGCCATTCTGTAATTCATCAGCCCCCAGTCTTTTGGGTGCCAGGGACTGGTTACGTGGAGGACAGTTTCGTGGTTTCGTGCACTGCCTGGATCCTCCATATGCGAGGATGGGGCTTTACTCACTTGCTCACCTGGCAGGCCGCAGACAATGTGTACTTGACAGCAGTCACATTAATATATTTTTTAGTGTTCTCCAATAATTAATTGGAATGGATATAGTTAAAAAAGACAATTTCTGAATATAAAATTATGTTATTATTTCTTTTTATGTATAGATACATTTGAACTGTCATTATTCTTTTCTTCCTTGCCATACTGAATTCCCCATGGCTAATATTACACTTCTTCAGAGTTCTCTGCATGTAAGCAGTGGTCAAAGTTGTACTGCTATATGAAGAAAATCAATGCATCTGTGTTTAGTAGTTCAAAGGTGTGTCAAAAATGCTGAGCACTTAATTTTCTCCTAATCATTTCAGACTGTTTGCTCAGCTGGTCAGTTTAGACAGAGAAGGAGCAGTGAAGAGAGGTAAATTACTTGGACCTTACGTGCAATGATTATGTGCTTTTTGGGAAAGACCCCCTGGGGATCTGAAAAACACAGGAAGATCTGTTTATAAAGGGAACATCAGGAAAATCAATGTCTGTCAGGAAATGTGTAGAAGACAACTACTTTTCGGACTCTACATTTATAAAAAAGTTTTAAAAATACAAATTTAAAGTTAAATATTAAAGAGGACTTAAAACATCCCCATTTGAATTTTTGGAGTATTTCCTTAAAATCTGTTTGAGGTTTTGAATCTGAGTGATTCAAAATGATATAAATGTGTGAAAACATTTGTTGGATATTGCAGATAGTAGGTAGATAAGTAGGTAGGTATGTAGGCAGACAGGTAGATGAGAGATGAGGGAGAGGGAGGGAGAGAGAGAGAGGGAGGGAGGGAGAGAGGGAGGGAGGGAGAGAAATAGATCTTGGGAGCTTGTTTCAAGTTGTTAAGCTTAGGACACCAAAACTGATAATAGGATAGTAGATCAGCAGCTAAGGAAACAAAGAAAGGAATGCATCCAAAAACAGGCCAAGATTGAGGACTTGAAAACATAATGATGTGAACATGTCAAAATAGTAGTCTTGGTGAAGGGTTTTTCAGACAGAGGGAATCAGCCCATATCCAAGCCAAGTTGGACATTAGAATAGAATGGAGCTGGAAGGGTCTTCTAGTCCAACCTGCAGCTCAAGCAGGAAACCAAGAAAACTTTGTGGATGTGTAGCCAACAGCAGTAGAGGGTTCATTGAGAAGGTCATCTGACATTAACAAAAGCAAATCACTGCTAAACAAAGGAAGGGAAACTCCATGGCACACTTTTTTCAGTAAATGAGTTTTTTTATTGTAATGAATGGTGATAAACAAATGGAAGTTTTGAATGCCCCTATCTATTTTTTTTAGTCCTGATTACATTAGTTATACCAATAGAGTATTTCTTTCCCCCATTATCATCTACTAATTTCTGTGAACTTTATGTAGCTACAGGTAAATTCTAGTTCCTTTTCAATTCTTCAGAAAGATATTTGATTCTTTAGCTCCCATCTGCCACATCTAATATGAGTTACATCACCCCAGTCATGAGAATAGCTTTCACAATTTAAGTTGGCCATTCTAATAACTTCAATGTCTTTCAACCACATTTGGAATTCGGGGATCATGTTATAGCCATTCTTATTGGGTATTTCATCACCATCCACCAAATTGTTTCCCTATGGTGCAGTAATATCTCCATCACTCTGCGACAGTGATAATTTCTTCCATTTGAATTAAAACCTAAAGGAAGCTAACAGAATAGAATGCCTTCCACTGGTCTTCTTTCAAGCTGGGAAATGTTAGGGAATCTATAGTAATACTTAGTGATAAATAAGTAATAAACACAGATGTTCATTACAGGCAACAAAGATGTCAAAAAAAGGACATGTTGCGCGAATGACATAATTATGTAATTTGCATCAGATGCATTATGCCATTTAATACAAGTACATAAGTCATATCATTTATAAAATATAATGATAATGAAAACAGCAGCACTAGCAGTAGTACTTCTAACCATCAAGTATGCGTACAAAAACAGCAAAGAAATACATAAAAGAGATTCTCAAGCAACCCAAGGACCAGGTAGATACATATATATAAGCTTTTCTCAACTTTTGAAAATGTGTGTGTGTGGGGGGGAAATATGGCACAATACTAAGAAAAAGTGCCTGGAAAAGTGTATTGTTGAGCAGCACAAACTAATAAGCAATCTGATTTGAGTCTCTCTATATAGAAGAAGAAAAAAAGAATTGAAGTGATTCTGGTTTTCCTCCTATATTATTGAACAAACAAAAAGTGGTGCATGGATGGATGGATGGATGGATGGATGGATGGATGGATGGATGGATGGATAGATAGATAGATAGATAGATAGATAGATAGATAGATGATAGTAAGTATATAGATGATAGATATAAATATAGTTGATATAGATATAGATGATATATGATATAACAGAATATTTAATCTTATAGGATATAATCCCTGCAGCTAAAAATACTTTCAGTATTTTCTATCCGGATAGCAACTAAATTATAGGATAGCCAAACAGATGGACACACAGAAACACACACATAGAGACATACAGATACATAAAGTATATATGGAATTGGAATTATGGAATTCCATATATGAATATGGAATGTATATTTGGAAATAAGGGGCAAACTAATTATCATAGCAATTTCCCAACATCAGAAGCCGAACTTCTTAATTTGTGATCACATTTAAGAAAAAGAGGCGTCCATTGATTGATCTTCAAACTCTTTGCATATAGATCATACATTTTATCATAATTGTGTCCATGTATATAACACAGCACTTATAAGGATGAATGGGAAGTGACAAGTTTCTTGTCTTCTAAAAATGCCATTTTTACAAAAGCTCATGTGTTTATGTCAAAGGAGTTGTCAGTCTACAACTGAGTGGGGAACAATATATTTGAGTAAATATCATTCTGTAACTTGAATTTAGGAAAACAAGAGGGAAAGGAAACCATTGGGAGCAATGTGATAGCAATAATTCTAAATGTTGCCAGAAAAGATTAATCCATCAAATTTGTACTAATAATCATTTTTATAAGATAAAAAGAGTATTTACCTTGTCCTGAAGTTTGCTGGTTGAGGATGCCCATCATATAATGATAAATAGTCATATTCTTCTTCTAGAGCAAAAGACTGAAATACTATCTGTATTCTATTTCTTTCTTCTGCAATTATGACCCATGTGCAGTTTGCACCGTTTGGATATCCATACGGAAAGCCTGGACTTTCTATAGTTCCATTGAGTCCTTTTAAAGTTCCACCACATGTATAAATAAATCCTGCAAAAAAGAAAAAAGTTATCAGCTAGGAATTATTACAAATAAAATAGATAAGATAGCTAAGATAACCTTTATTGTCATTTTTTACTGTGGGCACACTGGCACACATTAAAAATGAAATTCTGTTGCCTGCTCTCAAAAGTGTACACATACATAACACACATATAGATATGCTATATACATACATATGTATATACCTACACCTTTAAATATAAATACATATACATATTAATCACTGTCCATTTTGAATACAGAGGAAGAGGAAAGCTTGAGAGTTCACAAGGTTGATAACTGTAATGAACAAAACTGTGACTGAATCTGGTATCATCGGATACCACGAAGCCTCTTCCCAGAAGTTAACAAGGAAAACAGGTCGCGAAGAGGATGTGTAGTGTCACAGATAATACTGCGGACCTTGCTCAAGCAACACTTATATACTATGTCCCAGATAGAAGGAAGTGAATTGCCAATAATCTTTTCTGCCATCCTCACCACTCTCTCCACTGCCTACCTATCTGAAGCAGTGGGAAAAAAATGTTTGGAAGTCTATTAACCTTCTACCCCCACAACCATTTGAACAATTTGCTCATCAGGACTGATATAATAATTAATAATAATAATTAAGTAGCCTACCAATCACATTTTCCAAATATTTAAATTCCCCATCCCAAAACTGCTAACCCTTTGTACTGAATAGAAAAATATTCTCAAGTTGATTCATAGGGAACTAAACCATGATGTTATAAATTTTCCATTTCCTTTTGAAGTTCAAACTTCTCAAATTCTTGAAGTTCCATTTGAAATAGAAAGTGTGGTCCATGACAAAGGCTGCCTTTATGTTTTATTGCTCTTCAATTCTGCTGAAGACCATCCGACCAACTTCTGCAACCACAGAGAAACAGGTCAGAACAGAATGTTATGACCCAGTTGTTAAGTAGAATTTCCAACTGAATAGTGGAGTTTGTAACACTGGATGAAAATAAATTTCTCAATATGTTATTATTAAATACAGTAGCAAACCCCCGAACAGTTTGAGACCGGATTGCCAAAGAATTTTGCCTTTTTCTTTGTACAATGCAGCAGTTGAAGCAAACACTTCTTCGCTCTTGAGATGAAGAAAAGATCTTAACATTTTCTTTTGTGATCGGTCTTCCTCCTTGCAATTAATCCTTAGTGCTTCGGTCTATGTCTTCAGGTATAATTTGCAAAACTCTTTTTCTGTGAATCTACCTTGGCATATAGCACATGTTGGGCACATTACATGAATAAATTGCCAAAGCAGAAATTTTCATTTCCTCTCCTGTTATCTCAAAAAGAATGTGAACAACAATTCACCATACTGAATAATAACAGCAAATGAAAAAAATAACTAAATATTTAATGTCTTAATTTTTTTTAAAAAAAAAAACTATCTTCCTTTCAGAGAACAGAAGTGTTCTGTTGGCTTGTCTGCTATCTACATTGTGTGTCAAGGTGATACACATGATTTCTCCTTACTTACTGACCCTTCTATTACCATAACCAAAATCATCAGTTGGAAAACGCAGGAAGGATTGGGCAGGGATAATGAAAGTGTACATGAACACCAGGAAAAAAATTAAAACTGGAATTTAACTAGGCTTTGTTTTACCACTTAGACAGTGATCCCTGCTGAACTACAACTTCCTTCTTGGCTAGATGGTCAATGACAAAGGGAACTTCAAATGTGCTCCTCACAAAACAGTATTCAGGCTGTTCCATGTTTCATCTATCCAGCAAGACAAATTCCCATCAAGGCTTTATCAAGAAGTATACAGAAAGTGTGTAAACTCCTTTTGTGTCTCAAGACCATAAATCATCTACTTTTGCATAGCTGCAATATGCAATTATTTTAACTGAACACAACAATAAACACATTTCATCCAATGGTTTCTTTTGTCAGCACCTCTTCTCTTTTGCTCTTCAGTGCATTATTCAATATATTATTGGATTAATGCAAATAGCCTTCCTGTAAACCTTTCTCAAGTAAGTTTGGTCCGCTCTGTCAGCTGTTACCAAAATATTTTGGGGGAAGAAGTGTTATTTTCCTTTCTCAGTATCATTCCTTGCCTCATCAACTCTTTTTCTATTTTTAAATCCCATCTGACTAAAACTTCAATTGTTATTTCTTTTTAACTGACTGTTAATTCTGTAGAAGCCATAGGGAGTATGCTTGGTTTGGATATTGCTTCTCAAAAGGAAATTTGAATTGCTAATGAATTATGCATAAATGCTGTTCCTCATATCATAAAATGATATAATTTTTGAAATATGTGAAACCCATATTGAAGTATATTGCTATTGGTATCCTATTTCTCAAGGTCTTTCAGCTTCACATCCATATGACACATCTTAGTGCAGCAATTGTTTCTGTTAGGATTTAGGGAGAAGCTTCCCAAAACCTGGACTAAAGGGATATAGCGTATCAAGTGTCTTCATTCTCCAGAATGGCCATGCAAGTTGTTTTTGAAATTCACAGAAAATTCTCTGGTAGATGCAGAAATTGTTTAAGAATAATGTTAACCATTCTAATCATTGCGTTGGTTTTTAACATGACGTTATTCAGAGGCCATTTGCTATTTACTGCTATTAGCATTATTTCATTTGATATTATTTCCTGTAAGTGTTTTGTTTTATTGTGTAATTCTTTTAGAATTTGTCTGATTTAATGTGTTAGCAACCACTCTGGGAAAAGATGTTGCATCCGCAGTCACTATAAAAATAAATAAAATATATTATTCTCCAACAATACTCAAAAACTGGCAAAGTCCATTCAGCATTATTAAAACAACAAAGTAGTCTTTTAATCCAAAACTTCCATATCTGGATTGTCAGGGAATTCCTGTACTAACTTTTGCTATTTTTTTTTTCAAACCAGGTTCATCCTATCAAGGCCACAGATGAGTGTGTTTTGTGGAAATTCTCTTCAGAAAATCAAAGCAGAAGGAAAAGCTCATTTCTGCATCTTACCACAAAGAAAATAAACTTTTGTCCATAGGATGGTGTGATGGCTTAAGGTGCTGGGTTTGTCAGCTGAAAAGCCGACAGCCTGGGTTTGAGATCCAAGTGTCATGTGACAGGATGAGCTCCCATCTTCTTTTAGCTCCTGTCCACCTAACAGCTCAAAAGCATGCAAATGCGAATAGATGAATAGATACTACTTCGGTGGGGAGGAAACAGCACTCTGTGACATCATGCTGGCCACATGACCACACAAACATCTTCGGACAGTGCTGCCTCAATGGTCCTTGAAATGAAGATGAGTGCCACCCCCTTACAACCAGAGAAGTAAAATCTGCAAGGACTCCTTTCCTTTCCTGTTGCAATAGCTAAGGAAGTTACAACGCAAATCAAAGGAAATGTTATCTCTACTTACTTACATGTCAAAGCACTTTAAAGTCTACATCATAGGAAATAGCAAAATTCAGCCTAATTCTAGAATTAACCTTATTTTACTTGTCAATACAGTAATCTAATATGTTAGATTAATGATTCTGTCTAAGGGACCAGTTTTTGCAAAATAGCTCTAACTGAGCAGAGATAGTATTGCTATGCATGAATTCACATTTTTTTAAAAAGAAATCAGAACTCAAATGTAAAGAAAGATCAAGAAAAACCAAGCAGTGTTTCTTTTGGGGGGAATTCAAATGTATTTCTTGATTTTCAATAAAGGGTCAACTTTGATTCAATGCACATAAAAGTCCTTAAAACTGCCTGAACAGGATATTTGGGGAAAGCTTGTATTCATTTAATGTCTGACATGAACCCTCTGTTAAATGTCTAGTTTGCTTCTGTATCTGATGACTAGTGTACTCCTAAGAGCCTACTAACAGCAAAATGTAACCTTTCTGTGCTGGAAAGGTACTGGAAAAATAGAAATATCTGAGGTTAATTATTCTCAGACGTAGGTATTCTTAATTTTTAAACTTTGTCTCAAAGTCCTCTTTCAGTATGATGGAGGAATTTAACATTTTTCTGAATAAGGAGAAATCATCAAGCAGAAATACAGGATATAATCCTTTAATTCACCTTGCTAGTTTTGAAAGAGCAGGTTGTCTCAACTTTTAATGCAATCCACTGGCAAACAGATTTAAAATACAACAGAATTTTTAAATTCTACAAAAAGCAATCAGAACAGAACAGCCAAGAGGAACAATTATTTGCAAATACATTTGATTTGCATAATTCATTCTGAAAGTAAAATTAGCACTTTC